GATTCTGTAAGAGGAGAGGAATGAAGGTCTCAATTTCGAGGATTTGGGCTGCTTCCTCCATGATAATGGTATCGTAGGTGAAGCCCAGTTGGACAAGGTCACGACGCTTCAACGCGGCGTGAGTGCACGTCATGGCGACTATCTTGGCCTCCTGGGTGAGGAGGAAATTAGCGCGCTCCAGACCCGTGCGCATCAACTCAAATGCCCTGAACTCCTCCAGCGTGTTAAAAATTGCCGAAATAGCCCGGAAGCAGGAACGCGCAGTTGAAAGATCCTTTGTCAGGCTTCGGCCCTAAGCACATAAATAGGGCCAGTCATGGAGATTCAGCTGTATCCTAAGTTTTAGACTAATAGGGAAGCTGCCATGCTAGCTAGCGTCTACACTGTGACCTAATTTGGACTGTTTAGGCTAAAAATTATTTTTAGCTAAAGCAGACTTACCCGTATTAAGACAGATGAACGTGAAGTACACGCATTTAACAAGCAGTCCCTAGAGCAAATACTCATTGTAAAAAAACTACTTACGGGGAAGATTTGTTCCACAAGATCCATGGGAGGATTAACCTGTCCAGTGATGAAGGAGGTGAAGGGGAAATGGTTGCGCACAAAATCGGCCCTAGCAGCATCCTTTCCATCGCCATATTTTAGCAATTTGGCTGCTTCAGAAATGAACTTTTCCCAACGCGGAAGTACGTCCTGCAGGAAAAAGTACTGCGCAGTTTCACAAGTGTACAATTGGTGTGCGTTTTCATCAATGTCCTTTGTTAATGGTCTCGGTTCGGTAGCAGTAGCAGTGGCCACATCGGTGGCATCCGCATTCTCTCCATTGGTGAGGTCAACCGCCTTTTCGTCTGCCTTTAACGCCAGCTCTAAGCTCCTGCGCAGAAGGACAACCTAAGGGGGGAGCGTAGCCATTTGATAAGTTTAGGGTGACTCATGGACTAAACAAACCGTTAACATGCTCTTTCGCCTTCATACCATAGAAAAATTCTTAGAAAGTGCCAATCACTACGTCATCAAAAAAATCGGGTAAATTATCATTTTTAGGTATTTATGCAGGACGGCCAGCAAACATTCATATCTAATCCCGCTTCCCCACCTTTTTACGCATGACAAATAGTAAAGGATGAGTAGAGTTGAAGAGATCAACCATCACAGATGCAAAAAATTTTAATAGATATTGGGTTATTATAAGCGTGAAGCATGTTTTAATATTCCAGTTGGAAGAGAGAATCAATTTTGCTAATGAGTAGTATCACTATGGGAGACTCAACTTCTGTAGGAGCTCGATTCGCTTTGATAGGATAAAGTCCACACGACCATAACGAGAGAAGTCCTTTGTTGTCGCCAGCGCCTCCTCACCATGACCCAGACGCAGAAGATGGCGCTCATCGATATCCAGTGCGATGATTTTCTCAAAGAGTTGGTTCAGCGCCTGATTAGAGTGAGTAACAACCAGAATTCTAGAAGAGGGCAGTGCAACGTGATTGATTGAATGAAGGCGTTAGGGTGCATGGATCACCTATACCATTACTTAATTTGCATTACCTTTGACCGGGATAGTTGTGGTAGAGGTTGTGGATGGTTTGCACGGCAATATCAGTCTTTCCGGTGCCCGGTGGCCCCACGACCATGGTAAGGCCAGGTTGCATGCCCGCCCTGATGGCCTCCACCTGACGAGGTGTGAAGGCGATTCGATTGCCTGGCTTCGCCCCTGAGGACGTGGAGCCCGGCAGCCAGGTCGGACAGTCTACCGTTAGGAGGCGCCAGGGCACCTGACACCCCAGTGGCGTGTAGGACTCCGCTATGAGCACAGGCTTCAAGGGGGCCTCCATCGTGTCTGAGAACTCCTTTGGCTTGGAGTGGGCCGCTGTTGGAATTTCAGTCAATAAACGGGCCTCTACATGTGCCGTTGGGTCTTCACTCAGAGAGGGGAACGTTATGCGATAGGGCGGTGGCGGGTCGACAGCTAGATGACAAAGATGCGTGCAAAGCAAAAGCACTATCGAAAATTGGTAATATGGAAATGATATGGTTGGTCTGCGTCAATTTGTTGCTACCAGTACTTACACAAATAGTAGATGCAAAATAACAATTATATCTGTCGGAAGATCCGTGCTTCAAATCCAGTATAAATAAACGTATATAATACAGCCGCGGTATCATTTAAAACGTCCAAGGAACACACAGAGCTAAATTATTGATCGAACTCACCGATATCGGTGGAGATTGTTTCTATGGTGTCTTTGTCGTCTTGACATTTGTAACGCATATCGACAAATTTGATGGAGTATTGCGGAAAGGACTTGCGGAGATGGTCAGCGGAGAGGAAGGTATCGAACCAATTCTGTCGAGAATCATAAAATTCCGGACGTCGTGAGTAATGTGCAGCTGCAGGATCAAGGTAGCCCATAAGCAGATCCAGAAGCCAGTCGGGGACCACAGAACGGGTGTTCATGAGATCTCTTTAACAAAAAACCAATAATTTCCTGATGACAATATGAATTGATGACTGTGTAGGATCTACTTTAAATTGAGTAGAACATACATTACGAAGAAATGAGGTACCTCTTCATTTAGAGCTACCGAATATAGAAGCTACTGCTAAATTGGGTTTTGAAAAAAAAGCCGGCTCCCATAGCAAGTACAGTACCACTCAAACTATTCCTACACACCGTATAGTGTCAAGGACAGCTTTGAAATTGTTCTCCTTGGGTTTTCTGCGTACCAACACATTGAACGTATCGTAAATGTCCTCGGGCGAGGCAGATTCGGCCTCAAAAGCCTTCTTCTCTAGCGATGTGATCGCTTCAGCCGAGCGCCCCTCGCGTTTCGCCCGAGCGATCTCCGCACGAATAGCCCTCCCTCGATTTTTCTCATTTCGTAGACGATTTATGTCCTCCTGGTATTGGCAGGGATCCAAAGAGACCCGCCACGTTGGAGCCGTCGTTGGGGCATCAAACTCATCTGCTTGATATAAATGAAAGAAGTGAAATTTCAACTAGGTTTTTGTGTTAGAATACACAAAGCCACTCATACGCACCTTTACTTGGAACCAGACCAAAACGCTCCTCATCGGGAATGAGCTTCCCAGCTTTGTCTACTTGACCCTCGATTTCGCAGCCACGAACCGCCAAAATGCCAATCTGAGAAAGAAACGGCTTGCGCGGGTTGTACCTAGACAAGTTGAGGAAAAGGTACTTATCAATTGAAACGTTTAACACCAATCATAAAACTTAGTTAACTATATGAACTGCGATGTGTCTATAAACCATTTCTGTAAAGGGGAATATGAAGAAGTAAGAAACAATGTTACTCCAGAGCAATTAAGTGAACTAGCCACCTAAGGAGACTGGTAAGCAATAACTTATTTTTTATTATGACGTTGTAATATTAAAGACAGAAGGTATGGAGGAAGGGAAACACACTTCCAGTTCCTGAGCTGGCTTTTTGGTTGAACAGTTACAAGGAAGACAGGATCGTGGCGACGTAAGCCCTGCCACTCTTTCTGTACGTCCTCGCGCAGACCCGCTAACACGACGCGCACGTCAGCGCGCACCCGAGAGGACTGCTTCGCCCCCAGCGCCGGTTTACCCACCTCTACAATGCTGAAGGCCTGAATGGGCAGCGCCATCCGCGACCACCCGTCGAACACTACCTGGCCTTGCTCTCCGCTCCACGGCCTCATGCGACTCAGTGCGTCCTCCAGATCCTACAGCGAAGTGGAAAAAGTAGAACCCAGTAAAAAAGCACTATCAAACTCTGCAGGATTCTTAGCGCAATGTGCTCATACCTGTCGAATCTCGAACGTTGACTCTAGTCGAAAGAGGGTGAAATTACGCATCAAGTAGTCTTGCAGAGTTAAAAACTGCAGACCGAGTTTAGGCAGGGCTAGACACTCGTCGCCGGAGAAAAATTCGCTCGGGACCAGATTTGCATTCCAAAGGAGCTCCTCCGTGGGATACAAAGGTGCACTATTCATTTGAGCCAGATGCGATTCACGAATTGCAAAGTGATAAACGAGGAGCTGGAAGAAAAGTGAGCATGTGATCTCAAACCTAGATTCGAATATAAACAGCTAAATGATGGCATTATATTACGCTAAGTGAAAATCCTTTCAAGCGGTGCAAAGGTTACCTTGATAAGCATGTCCTTCTGAAAAAGTTTGCTGGGGAATTGTGGCGGAAAGACACTTAGGGGATTTGGGTTGATTTTGCGCTTTTTGGCGGTCGATAAAGAATCACCATCACAATTTTCTTCCTGTTCATTTAGAGTTGAAGGCAAAAAGTGAAATTTGGCCGCCAAATTATATAATTGTCTTGATGATAATTTTTCCAAAAAACCAGCCAACTTCTCCTGAGACTCGTAGGCAGCAGGATTTGCCACCGCAAAATCACGGAATATACCTTCTCGACCCTCCGAAAACACTGTCAATTGAAGTTTGTTTAATTGGAGACAGTGCCTAAAAGTCCGAACAGGTGATTGCAATTCATAATGCAAAACAATCTAACATATACAGGTAAATAAAAAAAATATATTCGAGTAAAAGGTAGCAAAATCTGCGAGACAATGAGCATCTGCACGTCAATTTTGAACAACCACCTTGAAAATGTCTAAATTCCGTGATATCACTAAGTTGGACTCAAATAAATTTTAGCTATTAGGCGAGCTACTAATGCACAAAAATACCTGAAATATGGTGACTTTTGAGCTACCTAAATCCAAAACCGTTAGGTTCACAAATTTATCTTTTAAGCAAGGTTAGGTGAAAAATGCAGAACACAAGATTAGCCATTACAGAATGAATAGTAACATAAAACATGCACATGGTAAAAGCAAACCGGCTTTCGGAATTTGCCAGTTGTTTCCTTGTGGTCGCCATTTACGAAAAACACTAAGACCACTGATGACTTGATAGCAAAATGAAATACAGGGAACAAGTTTTGTGTCATGAATAGACCTAATTCAAACGCACAAAACCGTTGTGCACGAGCTGTTCACTATGAATTATGCCTTAAAAGAGAATAAAAATGTGAATTACTAGAGGGACCAACCTTCGATCTAATTCAATTGCATCCACTGCTTCCCCCGTAGTTGAATCCACTTGAAACTGAGCATAAAAGGTCAAAATGTCAACAAGTTCAGAGAACAAGCAACCCTCTTTTTTCCCTTCTGCTTTGTAGAGGACGCAATTCTGACAGCGTATCACTGTATGACGATCGTCCATTAAGATCATAAGGAATCGGCGAGTCATCAACATGCTGGATAAATCGATCAGAAGTAGCAAACTCCTATGCAAGTAATGGGCGAGAAGAGGGTCCAGATCCTACAAAAAAGAGAATATGAACAAGCGTACCACAGCAAGCTATTTAAAAATGTCCTAATCAGAATAATGATGGAAATGGAACACATTCACCCCTTTACCATTTCAACTCTTATTAAGCTTACATATAGATAAAAGGCCTTGACATGAATTATACCAGCTCCGAATGCCGGAACTCCAAAGCACTTTGCAAATATTCAAATTTAATGCAATAGGTTAATAAATAAGAACCTTGTCACCGGGTAAATTCTCTAGAATGGCCAAAAATTTGTCGACAAAATTGGCCACAAAAGCACGCTGTTTGGTTAATCTTTCAGACTCTTTTGCATCTAACTCAGCAGCATGCTTTTCTAATTTTTTCAGAAGTTTTCGGTAACGAGAGGGACCCGCTGCCAACTCCTTTTCCAACCGTTGCGGCTGAAGATGTCGCCAAACCGCTAGAGAGTAGATGTCCTTTAAGCAGCGCCGCAAAACGCCTACTTCTGCCAGGCTAGTCAGGCAGTGGGAGAGGAAAGTGATGAGAACGATGTGTTCTGTCAGGCATTTGCGGAGGTCCTCACGGTTCGTCGCCAGCTTCGGGTCGTCTGGTGGGAAGAGAAGATTGGCGTCAATGGAATCATTCACAAGCATCTCGATCACGCGGAAAATCAGCAGACCGAACTGGCTAGGATTATCACGGAAGCACTGAAAAATGAAAAACGCACTGTCAATAACTTAGCAACTTTGTCCCATTGAGAGAATACAAGCCTTGAAAAAATTACCTGCCAAATGGGTACTCTTTCACGAGCTTTCTCATTGACCATGACACAAATGGATATAATGTGGGCACGACTGCTTTTTTCATCGAAGTTTGGCCACAGCCAACATTCAAGATACTGTGCCAATTCAAGCATCATACATCGACGGTGAGAGAACCCGAAACTAATCATATCTTCCAGGTAAATTCGCTCAACAAGGTCATCCTGAAATATTTTTTTTGTTTCTGCTGACCATCCGTGTCGATTGGAGGAAGCCAATATGTGCGCGCCAACTGGGCAATACGACTCTGACCAGCGAAATCGAATGATGACGACGTCATGGTCACTAGAAAATGGAATCAAATGCGTCATTTCCCAAGAGGACCACCGAGCAGAGCAAACCCAACCACAGGCTTTGCAGTCACAGGACACAAAAAAGGCAGGAAAACCTAGTATTTAATCATAAAACTACTAGAACAGTCGTGGCTAAGTAGCAATAGCATGGTGTTGTACACAGAAATCTGTTTAGATCGCTTTTTAACTACAGTCAAAATGGGTTTAACGGTATGGATAGAAAGCGAAAAGAAACACTTAATTACAAAATCACGCAGACCACACACCGAGAGCGGAGGTACTCAAACAACCCTCGAAAAGCAGTTAATTAAAACATTCAAGTGATTGTGATCACTTTGTATTAGTGTCTTTTTATCGCCATCGAATAGAGTTATAACCACCCTGCATATAACTAGCACACTCCGAGGTTGCCATTAGACGGTATGCTATTCCCGTTTTCTGCCTTTATAAACGACACGGAAATATACAATTAGCAGAAAATGTGTAGCCTTGCAAAAGCTTAATAATAACTTACCAAATCTTTAATTAAGAGCCCTTTATTTAGTAAGACCCCCAAAAAAACTTTTTACTCCAAAAGTGAAAAATTACCTGATTTTACATAGAATGTTACTGATATTTAAGGCATCCCCTTAGCTTGATTTGCATAATGAAAAATCTGAAATAAGAGGTTTAAAAATTGCAAGTAGAAAAAAGCATAAATGTGGCTGTAATGTGTTAACAGTTTTTAATTTGCGTTTTATTAAGTTCGTTGGGTGGCCATTTAGAAGTTTGAGCAATTCGTGTCTTCTGCAAGGTGGTGAGATGATGGTGGTGATGCAGGGTGACGCGTGATATGATTTGCATCAAGCTTCTATGAATTCTTACGGTATCAGTAAATTTTATCTTTGCTGCGTTGGTGATTTGGCACCTAGTTTTATGGCCTAGCTGCACAAGCATCTGGGTCTCCACAGTTTGTGACTCCGCCATGAGGTATGTCCCTTGAACAGTGCCAGTAGACGACTTATGCTTGTGCGCGCGCTGTTGAAGTCTGGTCTACCACACCAATTCATGAGCTACATATTTCTGCGTGAATATCAGGGTTTATCGGATTAACCTTCAATGGACTTATAGAAACTTGGTTTTAGTTATAGTTTCTTAACGGGCTCCCGCGTAGTTTGAATGGGGGCGGGGAAAATGTGACCCTTACTTGCCGGCGCTGGCAGTAAGTTGTTACTTACGTGTCCTTGAAGGAGGTTAACATGCCCTTAGAGCTTGGCACATTACATGGCGGCTGAATGAGTTTCCTCGTGGTAATCTTTACTTCGCCTTCAATGTGACTTAACATGTAGATGTTCGAAACTTTTTCTAAGTTATTTGGACGCTCGTACACACGAGATTTATGATGCTGAGTTACATTAGTCCAAGCAAGTTTTCTGGTAACTAGCAACATGCAGTGATTAGGAACGGGGTGCGTGCATTATTGTAAAATTGACTTTATGCGAGTAAAATCCCCTCGCTGTTTGATTGTTGGCACAGGATGGAAGCGATGGAAACAATTTGAAAAAACAAATGGTCTAGCCCAGTTGTACTCTGGAAAAATAATCTCTGACTTTGATTAAAAATGTTGAAGCTAAGTTACACCCACAATTTGTGGGATGCAGCGAGTTGTTGAAGTGGGACTTTGTGTACTTATTTGTCCACTCGGAGCGTATTTTGAGTTCATCAAGGCAGGTTGGGGTTGTTCATTATGTTTTTATGCTACTTTCTCCGTTTCTTGCAGCGTCTAAGTTGTTTCTACCATGTTTCTCTGAATAAGTGTGTTTTCCCGATTTAACATCGAATAATTCCTACTTAGCTGGGTTGATTCTCGTGTAATGGAGTTTATTTTAAACCATGCTAATTAATTGTATCTGGGTGCGGGTTTTCCCTGCACTAAATTCTTCACAGTATTAACATAGTTCCGGATGTGAAAACTGGTGACCTACTTTAGCAATCCCCATTAAATTGATTACTCCGACCAAACGCGGCGTGAGTAGACACGGCTTGAGAACCTTAAAAATAGGCGGTCTTTTTTGCTGACGAAGAAATGCACTTCCTGACGATTTCTGTCTCTTAATGTCTTGCGGTGAAACGACTAGATACCAGCCTTAGTCACGTTTGATTATCCTAAAGTGGTGTGATTTCGTTTTCCACTTAAATTATCAAAGCTTATTGACAATTCACTTGAACTCTATCTGATGTGCCCTTTTTCTAGATGTTTTTAGAAATTGTTTTCCTGCTTTTTGTGCTTTGGATTGTGTTGAGGTGCTGTGTATGTTTGACGGATGCTTCTGGAAGGTGCAGCACAATGATTGTTCTGGGTTCAGGTAATTTCTTTGTTTTTCCTGTTATTTTCGCCATAGGTGGCCACACGGCAGAGCTGTTGTCCTATGTGCGCCTTCTGCCTCCAGCCTATTCCCCGAGAATATACGTTGTGGCTTCGAATGACAATTTAAGTGATCAAAAAGCTTCAGAACTGGAAAATACACATCAGAACAATGATGTAAGATGACATTGGTGGATCCCCATTTGCACACATTAGTTTTTGGTCGAAAAGTTACCTCGCGCCAGGGAAGTTGGGCAGTCCTATTTCACAAGTATTTTCACCACATGCTATGCCAGCATAATCGCCACTCTCTTGGTTTTAAAACATCGTCCTCGGCTTGTAAGTTACTTTAATCGCACTACGATGCCAATGCGGAGTTTTGAAGCAATGACCTCATTTTCTTCATTTATTTTCCCCGGGTTGACACTACCAACTGTATTACTTAGTACCCACTCATTTTATCATATCCTTTGAATTGCATTTTTCTTCTGCTAAGAAATCATCGTCTCTGTGATTATTCTGTTTTGGATCATACTCACATTGGTGATGTAAAAATGTTATATTGATCCCGGTTTTGTAAATATGGTGCCAGGAATTCTTTCAAGGAAATTCTTACTGGATACCTTCTTCGACATCTAATTTTCCACCTCTTCTTGTACTTCATTATAGCTCTTGAAATTATCGTATGTACAATTTTACATCCGTTTTTTCAAGGTACTCTGCAATGGTCCTGGAACTTGTGTCCCGGTTTGTCTGGCGGCCTGGGTGGTACACAGCTTTATGCGCGGTTCAAAGGCTGTGGTTTTTGTGGAGAGCGTGTGCCGCACGCGCTATCTCTCCCTCTCCGGTCGCTTGCTTTACCACCTCCACTTGGCCCTCGTTGTGGTCCAGTGGCCTCACTTGGTTAAGAAGTATCCTCGTGCTACTTATCTTGGTCTCCTCTCCTGATGACACCATGTTTTTGTTTTTTCGTTTTTGCCCCCCTTTTATAATTCATGAAAGCTTACCGGAAGGTAAGGTTGTGATACCATTACCCATAATCGCCGATATGGTAAATGGTAGTTGACACCAATTGAGTTTCTCGAATGTCGCGCCCTGAAGACGGTGACGGATCAGTGCTCACCCACCGTCCTAGAAATCAGCGCTTTTGTAAGAATCGTCTTTGGTGTACTAGTAAAAACAGTTGCCTTAGGGCGATCAAAGATGATGCTGTGACGGGGTCGGGCCAACCGAGCCCGGTTAACGCCCCAGCGCGAGGTCACCTCCTATCCCGCCGCGTTGTGAGTATGCATGTGATGGAAATAGTTCTTACTAGCTTTCGCCCTTGCGGCGCCCCTCGTTTGCAACAGTACGAGGTCAGAATATGATAATCTATGATCCCACTCATGTCTACGGAATAGCGACAAGAGGATCAGGGACCGTGATCACATGGTGCCCAGTCTTCTCCAGTCGTAATAAGCCGGGTTAGTGTGGTGAAGCACGCTCCAGTGAAATACAGGAGATCCGAGAGGCTAAAAACAGCTCAAAGGCCATACCGGGGGGTGGGGGTGCCCCCCGTGCGGACCTCGGCATCTGTGTGGTCTAACACGCCGTTGAGCACATTACCAAGTGGCTGCAATAACTTATGCTTTGCTAAACACTGTAAATAGTAAAAAGATGATATTTGGAAGTGTGCCCAATTTTTTGCAGTCATTTACTTAGCATTCTTTCGAACGGAGTGTCGCAACAAACATCGCGTAAGTAAACAGAGCAGCAAATTCCTAGATAACATACAGTGGATGTCCTGATACATTATTCGGTTGTACGCTTAATCGCACAGACGCTTCGGGCTCCGCAGGCAATAATACCACTCTGAGGTATGGCCCTCGGGCCACGTTACTAGGTGCCCGGCTCAGTTGAGCGGTGTTACTCTGTTCTCCAGCACCACATTGGCTTACTGCGACTATGTGAGTCACAACACCAGAATTTTACCAAGCACCACAAATCAACGTCTCAACTACAGCGTATCTTCATCAAACTTGAACCTCGGTCACAACTATTATGCAAGAAAGTTGAGTAGGCCCTATACCATCTTGAAATGTTCATAAACAGTGAGTTATCGAGCAAAACAAGCGAGCTAAAGTAATTAACTGTGATCTCGGTTTTTTTTGACGAATAATTAAACGAACTTTAGCTAGCATGATGCAATAATTTGACCAGATTATTTGCTGGTGGAAGTCGTAGGGTGCTAATGGAATAAGAGCGAGTTCAGGATGTAACAATATGTAAAATAAGCATGAATTACTCTTGTATTTGTGTTTCATATGTACTGGAATGGCTTCCAACAAACAGTATTCTAACGTCTAACTAGTCGAAATTCTATCTCTTTTTGCTGTGCAAAGCATTAAAAATGGTTTGACAAGGTAATCTAAAGTCAGTTGTACACTTGAACCATTATTTTTTACTGCAACATATATTGCCAACATTAACGTGTTTTGTTTAGTTCACTCGACTGGCACTTTTTCAACTAACCATCCGGCTTGGGGGTGGACCACTTGACTTTGCGATGGTATGCTTATCCGCTTTCTGGACGTTGGTTAATGGTCTAGGGTGAAGTCTAACGGATGTACTGCTGTCACTGCTTTTTGTTTTACCTTCACCTCACCCTAATATTTCCCTGCTACTAACTTGCTATTGCATTTTTCTTCTATTTGGCAGGTTAACTTTACAGTTGCCGAGATTCGTCGGTTAATGGCGAAGAACAAAAACATTCGGAATATGTCTGTGATTGCTCATGTTGATCACGGGAAATCCACTCTAACTGATTCTCTTGTTTCAAAGGCCGGCATCATTGCCGAGTCGCGTGCTGGTGATGCTCGCTTCACAGACACTCGCAAAGACGAACAGGATCGGTGCATCACCATTAAGTCAACAGCCATTAGTCTCTATAATGAACTGAATGCAGACCAGCTAGACTATGTGCGCAAAGTTCAACCCGTGGATAGTGATGTGTCGGGGAAGGCCGAGTGTGGTTTTTTGATAAATCTTATCGATTCGCCTGGTCACGTCGACTTCAGCTCTGAGGTTACAGCTGCCTTGCGTGTGACGGACGGTGCTCTCGTCGTCGTGGATGCCGTCTCAGGTAAGCACCACTTTGAAGCTATTGTATCCCTCGTAGGTGTTTGTGTTCAAACGGAGACTGTTTTGCGACAGGCTATTGCTGAACGTATAAAGCCTATCCTTTTTATGAATAAGTTGGACAAAGCGCTGAGCACAATGGGCCAGGACCCCGAGTCGTTATATCAACATCTCTCTAGGGTTGTTGAGAACGTTAATGTTATCATAGCTCAATTCAGTGAACACGATGGTCCCATGGGTGATGTAACTGTAAATCCAGGGAATGGAACCGTTGGGTTCGGTTCCGGTTTACAAAGCTGGGCCTTCACCTTGCATACGATGGCGAAATTCTACGCAAAACGTACTGGCATGGATGCTGATAAGCTCCTTCCTCGGCTGTGGGGAGATAACTTCTTCAACGCAGCTGAAAAGAAGTGGCGCAAGTCCAAGACAGACCCCAAAGATGTACGGGCATTCGTGCACTTTATACTCGACCCAATTACAAAGATTTTCAGAGCTGTTCAAGACGAGGATAAGCCGATGATTCAAAAAATGCTTACTGCGATTGATGTAAAGTTGAGCACTGAAGAGCACGACCAACCGGCCAAGGTTTTGTTAAAAACAATAATGCATAAATGGCTTCCCGCGGGCGATTGTCTTCTTGAGATGATTTGCATTCATCTCCCGAGTCCTTTTGTATCCCAGAGATATCGCATGGAGATGCTCTACGAGGGTCCTAAGGACGATGAAGCCGCTATCGGGATAATGAATTGTGATCCCAACGCTTGCCTCATGATGTATGTTAGCAAGATGGTTCCAACGTCTGACAAGGGTCGTTTTTACGCCCTGGGTCGTGTCTTCTCAGGTACGATCGCGACCGGCCAGAAAGTTCGAATTATGGGTCCCAACTACGTTCACGGCAAGAAGGATGATTGCTGTGAAAAGTCTATCCAGCGTACTATTCTCATGATGGGCCGTTATACGGAAGCCATCGACGATGTTCCCTGTGGTAATATCTGCGGTCTTGTAGGTGTCGATCAGTTCCTCGTAAAGACCGGCACTATTACGACTTTTTCTGGTGCTCATAACATGCGCCAAATGAAATTCAGTGTCAGTCCAGTGGTCCGTGTTGCTGTAGATTGCAAAAATCCCAGCGATCTGCCTAAACTGGTGGAGGGCCTAAAGCGCCTTGCGAAGTCTGACCCTATGGTTCTCATTCAAACCGAAGAGTCAGGTGAGCACATAATTGCTGGCGCGGGTGAATTACATCTGGAAATCTGTTTAAAAGACCTGGAGGAGGATCATGCGTGTATTCCGATTAAGAAATCTGAACCTGTGGTTTCATACAGGGAAACTGTTACCGAAGTATCTTCAGTTCAAGCTTTGTCCAAGTCGCCTAATAAGCATAATCGTTTGTTCTTCCGCGCGGAACCACTGGGTGAAGAACTCACCAAGGAAATCGATGACAATGTAGTTACTGCAAAGCAGGATCCAAAGGCTCGAGGTCGTATTTTGACGGAAAACTACGGTTGGGATGCAACTGATGCACGTAAGATTTGGTGCTTCGGTCCCGACCGTACTGGACCCAATGTGGTCGTTGACGTTACGAAGGGTGTCCAGTATCTTAACGACATCAAGGATAGTGTTGTAGCTGCCTTCCAGTTCGTCACCATGGATGGTGTCCTATGTGACGAAAATATGCGGGGTATTCGTTTCAACATCGAGGACGTGGTTCTTCACGCCGATGCAATCCACCGAGGTGGAGGCCAAATTATTCCCACTGCCAGGCGTTGTTTCTATGGTGCTTGCCTCACCGCCTCGCCGGCTATCTTGGAACCTGTCTATGTTTGTGAAATTCAGACACCCGAGGATGCTTTGGGAGGCATTTATAGTACGCTTAACAAAAAACGCGGTATCATTTTCAGTGAAGAAAATACTCCTGGTACGCCGATCTACATTGTGAAGGCGTACTTGCCTGTAAATGAGTCCTTTGGTAAGGCCGCTTTGTCTCTTAATCCTTGCTCTTAGGTTTCACGGCAGAGCTTCGCGCTGCTACCAGCGGTAAGGCATTCCCCCAATGCCAATTTGACCATTGGCAATTGTACCCAGGAAACCCTCTTGATCCTAACAGCAAGCCTGGTGCTCTAGTTGCCGGCATCAGGAAGCGTAAGGGCAAGCCCGAAGCTATCCCAAGTCTCGATAACTTCATCGACAAACTATGAGACTAAAATACAGTTTTCAGGACCTACACTTACGTTTTTAGCGTGTAAAGTGTTTGAGGAACTGTGTTTGCGAGGATTGGTCATAGGCTAATGTTTTAAGGGTTACAAACGGTCGGTAGTGGTATCGGGAATGGACTCTTGGGAGGTTTGGAATCTTGTAGACATCCAGCGAAGTGGGAATCGTCGTTCTGGTCGTTTTTTATGGCTAGTAGGTCCCAACTCTGGGGTGGTTAGCGTGGGGGTTTGGGATGTGTCCTGACTGGGTTCTCTATTTGGCGTCCGATTCGCAATCAGCGTTCAAATTCACGTCTACCTGTGTATTGATACGATTCAGTTGGGTTCATTACACCTACCCCTGTGATTTTTTAGTCACGCGCGTATCTTCTCAGGCCATCCAGGCGGTCGGCTGCGTGGGGGGCACGCATCACGCGGCCATGCCATGCTCGCGTCGGATGACGTCAACGCGTGAGGCCGGCACGACACCGTGACATCGTGCGCGCTTAAGCCCGGGCGCGTTCACGCTCAGCAGAGCGTCCACAGGTCGGCTGTCGGGTCATCTGAGTCGCCTGGATAGCACCCCTTGCGTTCGAACCTGTTCGTACTTTGTAACACGAGACGGTGGCGTGTGATTCTACTGAAACTCCTACGGCATGACTGCTATAGGTGTTAAGGGAGGATTATTAAGCGATTTAATAAACTAGTTACTGTCGCCCGAAATATAAGGAAATAGTAACAACCAGCAGTTTTGATGGTAAACGCAAAATGAGGTCATTCAAATGGCTGGCGAAAGTGCGTTTCTTAATCTCTATTTAAAAAATGGATGAAAGTGAACATCAAACTAACCATAATGAAGATAGGTTCGGTGAGGCACATGCTAGAGAGACCCACCTCTTTTATCCAACCTTGCCATGCTCGATTCGAAAATAGATACAAAGGGAGGATTAGGCAAACTGTATTATGCAACTGCACCAAGGGGGTTGGTGAGATTGTGATTCCCAAAAATATAAATGACAGGAAGATTTGGACTTGATTCTGTTTCTGCGAGGCTGGCCTTTCTTCGCATACTGTACTTTTGATTCACAATTCCTAAACACCCCAATTCCACATTTAGCGATATTTTTGTCTCAAAAGAATCTGAGGGTGGAAAGCTTTTATGTCATAACATTTCATCACGGTGTTATGCTTGTAAAATCATAACGGGAGTCGTCCACTTTACAGAATAGGAGAAGGTGGTTTCGACACTCGTAAATTGAGTTATGGAATCCCATGGTATATAATGCCGCATGATTAAACAGATTGTACTTAACTTTGAGGGCGTTTCTGATTATTTGTTTATTTCAGGAGTGACTAATTTTAGCAAGTTAGAATCTTCTTCCAGGTGAATACACATGAAGATCCCTTGGTTTTAGCTTCGCACTTAAGAATCTCCTTGTAATAAAGAGATAAAGCGCTCATGAGAATAGGTTAAATCATATCAGAGAATCATTAATTCATTCGTGAGAACTTTTTATCGTAGGAGTTGGAAAGAAATAAACCGGAACGTGAACATATGCCTATGCTCCATAGCATGTACAAACGACCGCACTTTACAGGCCAGAGCTGTGGCGGCGACCAACCCCGAAAACTTGGGGAGCTTTTTGATTGGTGGAATGCTTTCAAGTAGGTGTAAAGAAAGACCTATTGCTAACACAAAAGTAGTACCTTTTAAGTACTGGCCTCTCCAGGGAAATACAACCAAATTTACTAAATCCGTTATTTTTCATAATTAACCGCAAAAGAATGGGCTTTAAAAGGTTGAAGAAACTGTCACAAATGTGATTCAGATCCAACATCCGGACGATATCGCCTTCGGCTGACGTAGAACTTGAGTCGATTTGGGCAATCAGGTGAAACTCACGGGACAAAACGGCAATAAATTATTCGAAGCATTTCTGTTTTAACTTGTCGCTAAAAGCAAAATATCAATAGAACAACTATTCTTCAAATTGTGTTTTGTCTTTTATAAATTTCACCACAGGAAACACATTCATCTTAAATATGAGTAATTCTGATTTGATTTTAAGTATTAATACTGACCACGGTAAGTAATAACTCAAAGCAGAGCCTTTTGAATAAAAGATATTAGTTCGCTAAACATTTGCATCAATCCACTTTGAGCAGCAGAACATGCACAGAGTATCCATAGTATAAGTTAAAAGTGCCCAAGAGACCCAGGATTTTTCAATGATAGAATACTTTAGCAGAGTATGTGATTTATTGCTCTGTCTCGTGACTTTAGAAACTAAGAGAACAATTATTTTTTGAATTTCAAGTAAGGGTGATTTTAGGGAAAAATGGTTTCTTAAGGTTCATTTTGCCTAGTGTGAGAGTACCCTTTTAATTACTGATGGTACCATTAGCTTTAAAAAAATTTCCATTTTGACGATTGATCCGCCTGGAATGTCAAACTAATATACTAATTTTGATATACAGTCTATGAAAGAACAAAATGATTTGTTTTGACCCACAAAAAATAATGCCCAAACATATCCCACATGTGCTGGTGCGCGTCCAAAGACATAGTGATTTATTTTCAAGTTAGATAACTGGTTTTTTGACAATGTGTCATCCTGTTCGTACACACAAAAATCATCCTTACCTTCACAACACAGGAAGGTACTCACATTAAAGGAACTGTATGTGAGACTTGTGGCATCCTGGGGTATTTTTCCGGTGAAGAAATTAGTGAGACAATTGGATTCCAGTGGCCTCATTTTAGATGCCGAGATAACTCTCACGTGTCATATTTTATGTAGATAAAGTTGGTGTTGTTACTGAAACCACTAAAACGCAGAGACGAGTAATGTGACCAGGGTTCGACTTTGATTTTCTCAAGTACAGAAAGTACTTTTGTGTATCCAATTTACTTGCGATAGTGAATGGCACATAATAAGTGTCCGCATGAAGCTTGTGAGATAATGCTGAAAACAAATCGACGACTCAAATTTTTGTGTGAATTGCCACTAAGTGTGAATTTGCCCAAAATACATAAACGGATTAGAAACATATGTAAAAAGTGAATATACATATCCCATGCTACCTTTTCCACGTGGAAACAAAGTGCCCTTTTTTAAGAGGAGCACGGATCTTCATAAAGGTTACAACACAACGCTAAGATGTGGACCGTTTGAAGGCAGATCGTAAACTGAGGTAAGCATTTTCAACAACGCGTCGTTAAACCACACCTTGTGCTTCAGATGTTGTATACTTGGCATTAAATTTGTAGACACTAGAGAGAATCAAGTTTCCAAAGAGGCAGAAGTAAAAAAAATTGCTGACCAATGCAACTCATTTACGTTGGATAGAAACCGGTAAGTAACTGCAAAAAAGATGCTGTCATAAAGGTGGGAAACTTCAAAGTGGATTAAAGATATGGGGATATTCCTAAGCCTCCTGCTATTTTGATAGCCTGCTGTTATAATTCTAGGATAAATAAAGGGTGACAGCGAACAATTTCGGTATCTATCCCTGTTCCATCAGTGTCTTATAATGGCCACGTCCATTAAAAGGTCACAAAGATTGAAGTAAAAAAATTTATTCGACAAAGTAGGCATGTGAGGAGAAATTTGGAAAAGAAAGTACGTTTATGCTACCATATTTATTGCTCGTAAAAATACGCACCACTATATTCTCACATGCATTGCGTTCATTGTATAAGTTATTGTAAGTGAGGGAAAATGCGCTAATAAGAATGCCTTAAAGTAGTAATTCTGCCTCCTACTCATGAAAATTCCTAAAAATCCGCATTTCTTCAAAACAGCCGCTCATCAGCAATTCCTACATCTAGAGGTAGGGGTTGAGGTGTTCAAACTAATGGGTTGATAGCAATTACTTCATCATGACAACTGACTCATGCCAGCTAAACTTGGCACTGATGAGGGCACAGCTTACCTCAACACTTGAAAATTTGCCTCACAAACGACCAGGCCCGAAAAACCATTCAATTTAATGCCAATCTAGCTACCTGTTACTTTGGCAACGGCAACAACATGGTATACCAAGCCGGCAGTTCGTAAAAATGAAAACCAAATAGATTACCAAATTCCCAGATGAAAACTATTTATAAATAGGGCGGAACTAAAAATACTAAAGCTATGCAACACTACCTCTGT